TTTGAAAATGTTTTTTACCAAAAAGCTGCACTTTTGCATCCGGGTGTCCAAATCTTAATCCGACCGTTGGATTTCTCTAAAATTTGGGTCACAAGTAAAACCTTTTATAAGCTTCGTGTGGGCTTTGGAATCACGTCGATCGGATATCGGACGGAGAACACGACGCACTCCGGATTTGGTCTGGAGGTGCTGTCATGACAGCATTAAATTGCTGTCATGACAGCTACAGTGTTGATTTTGTAACCTGCACAAAATTCAATCCGTCCGTTGGATCTTTTCAAAATTTAGTATGCTAATAGTATTCTTTAAAAGTGACATGTGGGCTTTGGAATCACTCCGATCGGAGGTCAGATGATGAAATGGTGCACTCCGGAAGTTGGTCCGGAAGTGCTGTCATGACAGCTTTTTAGCTGTCATGACAGCAAAAATAGTCAATCTTTTAACATGTCTAATTTTTAATCCGACCGTTGGATCTTTTTGAAATTTGGTACACTTATAGTACCCTTTGAATGTGACGTGTGAGCTTTAAAATCACTTCAATCGGAGGTCGAATGACGGAACACCGCCTCCTGGAAGTTGGCCCAGGAGGGCTGTCATGACAGCAATAAATTACTGTCATGACAGCATCTTTTTATTCCATTTTCGTCTAACTTGCTTCCGTGCGCTATAGGTAGAACCTATAATTATTTTTAAGGTTTTAAATGATTTATTTCTTAAGTTGGTTAGAGGATCAACTCCTTAACCACACTTAGTTTGTTTGAATTATGTGATTTTTGGATAACACTCAAGGCAAGTGTTACATTTGGTATCAGTTTTAGGTTTATGATTCCTTTTTCCTACTTGGCACCTTAAATACATTACTTTTATGCTCTTTCCCTTCTACCACTAACCTGGACTAATATGGTTTTTCTTTCTCTGGCTTGTTCCTTTAGGAGGGGAGAAAGGTCCGTACGCTTGTGGCCGTACACCTTTCAGTTCTAATATGGCTCGAAGGGGAAGGGGTAGATCGAGGAATGAGGAACGACCACCACCTCTACCTCCTCCGCCTCCACCTCCGCCTCCACCTCCACCACCACCACAGGGGACAGATGCAGTCATGGCTAGGCTGCTTGAAGTTATGGTGGATATACAGCAAAATCTTAGAAGTCATACTGTTCCAGATCAGCATGTTGACCTAAGTGCTGGGCAGGGATCTTCTAGTACTATGGGAGCTCATGCACCAGTTGTTAATAATCGAGAGGATGACATATCTGAACCTTGGAAGGAATTCTCTCGCTCTAATCCGACTACATATGATGGTAGTATGCTTGATGGGAAAGCTGAAGAGTGGTTGGATCGGATGGAGCAGTTATTTACTGTTGTGAGGTGTACATCTGAGCAGAAGGTTATCTTGGCTACGATGCAGCTTGTTGGTGAAGCCAAGCATTGGTGGGATTCTGTTAAGCCCACAGATGGAAGATCTATGTCTTGGGATGAATTTAAAGAAAGATTTTATGATTTTCACTTTCCGCCAGCTTTCAGAGATGAGAAAGAGGCAGAGTTTCATGCATTTCAGCAGGGGGACTTAGACGAGGAGACTTTTATAAGAAAATTCAATCAGCTGTCTAAGTTCTCAACATATCTGAAGGCTTCTAATGATAGCAAGTGGAAAGCAAAGAGGTTATTAGAAAAGATGAGGCCAGAATACCGCCAGCAGCTATCTTTGTTAGGCGAGGCGACATATGATGAGATGTGCAATCGTCTGAGGATTGCCGCTCGTCGAGGCCGAGACACAGAGAGTAGCCGGAGTAGGGATACACGAGGTCGATTTTCTTTTGGGTTAGCTCCTACTGGTGGTGTATCCAAGAGAATGGGTTTTAGCTCTGGTTCTTCTTCTAGTGGCTCCTTTAGAATCGGGTCTTCTTCTGCTTCTGGTAATCGAAATTTAAATAGGGGTTCAAGATTTCAAGGTAATCGGGGTGGTAATATGAGATCTGGGGGTTCTCGTTTCTCTGGGAATGCTCCAGCACGTTCTTCACAGACCAGTCAAGCCCCAATTCTAAGCACAGCGAGGTCACCTTGCAATAGATGTGGTAGGGTTCATTTTGGTCGCTGCTTTGCTTGTTACAAGTGTGGAAAGTTAGGCCATTTGATCCGTGACTGCCCTGATTTACATGAGAGCTCGGACCGGAGGAACGTGATTCCTGGTAGAGTGTATACAGTATCTCAGGAGGAGGCTAGGAAGTCATCGAATCTAATCACTGGTATGGTTTCTATCTGTGGCCTCGATTTAGAAGCTTTGTTTGATTGTGGTGCGACGCATTCTTTTATTTCTGCCGAGCGCTTAGATAGAATGGCTATG